GGTCTGGGATCAGAGCCACTGTGCGCCCAGCTGCTACCCTCACACTAGTGCTTCTATAGGGAGCTCAAGTGTGGGGCACAGAGCGGGACATGTAGGGGCATGTGAGTCCCTTCCCAAGGACTCTCACCGGGCTTCTCAGAATAAAGGGGCTCCCCTAGTGCAAAACTAGCTGGCCCGCCAAGGGGTGGCCCTGGGATGTGACCCTCTCCACTTTAATCTTTCACACTCAGAAGAGGAAACATTCAGCCACCCCTCCCCCAAATTCTCCCTTCTGTCTCCAAATTCCCAATGAGTAAGGACAAGAACCCTGGCATAAAAGGGGGTTGGCCTGGGAAAGAGGAGGTCTCAGAATTCCATACCAGAAGGGAAGGCTAGTGGTAGAGTGGGCTGGTTCCCTCCCAGTCCCAGCAAAGCAAGGACCTGGGCCCCTTTTCCTGGGCCCGGGGCCTCTCCTCTGCCTTTTCCACCCTTCTTGCCCTAGCACCCTCCTGGGGACTTGGAGGCAGACACATAAAACAGGGTGGCCTTTGGCTTAGTAACCCAGGAAGGATATAAGAAGGGGGTTAAGGCCTTCTCCCTGCACAACCCCAAAGAATGCCTTCCTGCTGGGCCCTACTCACCGGCCCTCTGTTCCAGCAACGGTGGGAAAGTAGTTTCCACATGCTATGCTACAGCTGTTGGAGAGTCAAGGGCTTCACTGACAAGTTCCTAAGTCTCCTCTCTGGGGCGCTGGGGCCCCAACTCTCCCTTCAGGCCCCCACCCCCCCTCCCGCGCCTCCTGGGGAAGAGCTCATTCTACCAAAAGAAGAGTCCAAAAGGTGTGGGACCAGAGAGGAAGAGTAAATCTGGGGCATGAGTCCCAGGGAGAAATGGGCCCCAGACCTGAAGACTGAAGACCACTGAGGACTGTGTGAGGTGGGGGGGGTGTCTGTGCTAATTCACCCTAGAAGGCTCCCCTTTCCACCCCATCCCCCTAAGTAGCCTGGGCAGAGGACAGCCAGATGGGGGAAGGAAACAAAAATGTCTTCCATTCTTCTTTTCCTCCTCGCCCTGACGTCCCCCCACCCCGACCATCTCTTAGGAGGGGGTGAGTTAAAAGCCCATTAATGTGCAGAGCCCCCCAACGTCTTTGAATCTCCTCACAGGATGTGAACAGGGTGGGATTTGGCCTCGGTTGCCACAGCAACTGCGGTGGGAGTTCCCAGACGCTAGGCAACCCTCCTGTGACCCTCGCTGACCTGTCACCCCCGAAACCCGAGGACAATGGGAGTGCAGGCTCCGGAGGCCCAGGACGCCTTTCAGCGCAGCCGCCAGCAGCCCCGCCAGCCCCCACCCTGCCTGGCCCAGCCCTCCCGGCCCCAGGTCCAGCTCTCCTGAGCCAGAGCGGCCTGGCCTGTCCCCAAGGCCTCTGTAGGCCCTCCACCTCCCACACTCGTCCCGGCCCTCACCGCCCCCCATCACAGAGCTCAAAGGGTATCCGTGCAGTCCCTGGGGAAAGCCCCCACAACTGGGAACATTTCATACAGGTGAAACCAGAATAGGAGGAAATGCGAGGGCAACCTTCAGAGAAAAAAGCCATCAGAGGGAAATAAGGGAGGAAGGAGCCACGAGGAAGGAGACTCTGCCTTGGTGAAGGAAGGGGGCGGCAACGGGAGGTGGCTGGCAGGTCTGCTGGGTCCAGGGTATTCTTTAATAGCTGCTGGGGATCATCACCTCCAGCTGGCTGGCCAGCAGGGTGCTGGTACAAATAAGGTTCGATGCTTGTTTGCTGAATGAATGCACACTCCAAGGCCTTCTTCTCAGGGAACGTTCTCCATAAGGGGGTGAGATTGGAGACCCCACGAAAGCCCCAAGGACAGAGTGGAGGTGGTGTGGCTCTATCACTCACCCATAAGCGGGTTGACAGGAGGGAGCCGGAAGCTGGGGCCTTGACGGCTGAAACGGGGCAGCCAGCCACGGACCCTCTCTCCAGTCAGATGGGGCCTGGCAGCCACGCCATGTCACCCCCTTACTCCCACCCCCCAGCCGCTGTTTAAACAAGCTCCCGGCCTGCTGTTGCATGGAAACGAGTGCCTGATCTTGTTCCAAAGTGATGCGGCCACCGTCTCTAGTACTGTTTGTTTCAGCCTGAAGTCCTGTCACTGGCCTGACTTCTGACTTGCCCTGTTTATCTCTCTCTCCTCTGTCAACTCATTACTCCCAAAGGCTAAGACTGCACTTCCAGGGCTTGTTTACCTAGAGCGGAGGGACAGAGACCAACAGGCAGATGGAAACAGGGAGAGGGGCTTGGCGGCCCAAGGAGGCGGGATGGGACTAATGCAGACTGTACACCCACCCCCAACCTCCCTCTACAGTGGCTCCTTGGGGCCGGCAGTGTTGCTTTTGTTTGTTTATTTTAAGAGCTTTTAGGGTTGGGAATAGAGTCCTCTCATACACTCACCAGCAGACGTTTAGTTTAGCACCTACTATGCTCCAGGCCTTACTCCCTCCACTTCCTACAAGGGACTGTGTGAGGTGGCAGCAGCCAAAAGGAGGCTGTGTTGAGCCCTGAACTAGGAATTGGGAGACCTGAGGTCTAGCTGCAGCTGTTCCTGTGTCACCTGGACCAGCCAGTGCCCCCCTCACCTGTGAAATGGGAATAATAGTAACACCCACTTCCCAGGGCTGGGGAGGCAGTTAAATGACACCATGTAGGAGAAAGACCCAAAGCACCAAACAGAGGCAAGGTATTTGTTGGTTTGTCCTCAAAGGACTTCCTGGATGGGATGGAGGAGAGGGAGGAGGAACCCGTTGGGCCAGGCTTTCTTCTCTACAGTTATTCTACTCCACAAACAATCAGGAACATTTGTTGTTGGGGGTACCAGAGAGTGTTACCCCTGAAGCTTTCCTCAAAGCCTTGCTCGTACGGGGGTAGAAGGACCGTCCACAGACTTTCCCTTTAATTGAAACATTTATAATTGTAATTTTGCAGGGTTCTCTCATAGTTTGGAGCCAACAGAACCTTTTTAAAGTCTCAAATATTTTCCTTGGCCCCAGGCCCCAGGCCCATAGTGAGCCCAAATGGATAAAACAGCCGTCCGCCTGCCTCCAAAGCTCCACCCCAGTTTATTTGTGAAACAGATATAGGATTTTCCAGGACTTTGGGATAGTCCCCAAAACAAACAGGAATAACTAGAACGTGGAATATAGATGGCAAAACATGGCTTGTGTGCAATGCAGAAAGAAGAAACCTGATCAGTACAGACAGTTCTGTCTCTCCCTGCCCTACACATCTCCCCAGTTATAGAGATATCTGTGTTTACTCTGCAGTTTTAAGTAATTGTTTTAAAAGACACTTTCCAGTTTCAGTATTCCCCCACAGCCCATCCCCCACCACATTCAAATCTTTCCTAGCTCTGTGTGCATAGAGGTGAGGGAGGGGAAGAGGTGGCTGTATAAAATGGGTGGCCTTGGAGACTTCCGGTGGGGTGTGTTTGTTATTTTCCTAAGGGGTAGGTTTTGCCCTTTGACCTTCTGTCCCCGGTAGGTGGCACAGACTCTGAGGGTCTCTTCCGCAGAGATCCTGCTTAGGAAGTCTTGGGAGATGCCAGCAAACTCCCCAGTGCTATCTCCCCAGGGAAAGGTGACAGGTCCTTCCTGTTCCCCTGTCCATAGTTTGCAAGAGGAAGTGATTTCTAAAGTCCTCAGTTCAGTTAGTATCCACATCAACCACGCACTGTGTGCAGGGATCTCACACTCAAATTGCACCTGATCCTAAAAACCCTGTACTTTAGGGTGTCAAGGAGGCCAAGGCTCAGGGAGGGCCCATGACTAGGTCAAGGTCACACTGCTGTAAGAGGCTGGCTGGGACTTAACCTGGGTTTGTTCAGTTTGTGTTAGTGGTAGATGAGCAACTCAGTACAGGATGCTGGGCTTCCAGTCTGACCTTGGGTTCCACAAGTGTGGTGGGAAAAGGCCCCTTAGGGGCTATGCAGTTGAGGGAGGAGCCCCAGCGTGAGCCTGGGAGAGAGCGTGAGGGCAATATGGGTACACACATCTGTGCACGCTTGAGGCATGGGCAGGGACTACATGTAGACCCGACTTTTCCACATTCCCAGCAGAGCCCCCAAGGGGCTGTGCCTCCAGTGTGCCTGGCTGAGCAGTCAAATGAGAGAAGGAGAATCCCAAGGCTGAGGCTGGCTGGGCCGGTTCTCCTGAACTTGTCAAGCATGATTCTCCATTTTTCCAGGGGTGGGGCCACGGGGCCAGGGCCTGGGGCCCCTGCTCTGTCATCATCCAACCAGGCTCCCCACCCCAGAGCCTCTGGAACGTCAGCAGCTGGTCTTGAACTCCTGAACTCTGTATTTGAGGGTGGGAATGACGAAGGGGAGAAATGGGAAGGGGGACGCAGATAGGGATCCCCAGTTTGAGCCCTAAAAATGGAGGCCTGACTTTGCCTGTTGCTCTTGGCCTTTTCCTAGCTGCTTTGGACTCTGGTGCCTGGAAGTTTAATTTCTTCACAGCTTGGGTCAGGGGCCCAGGCAGACATGGAGGTGGGGAATGTTTTACAATACAAATAAAGTGAAGACGGTGTATACACAGCCCCCTTCCTCCAAGGGGCATGCACCTAAAGCGGGGTCTCCGTCTCCCAACGCTGTTCACTTAGCCAGTGTGCAGGAGGAGAGCCCAGGAGCCCAGCCATCCCAGATGCACACTCTCCAGCCTACTGCCCAGGCATCTGTCTTCGTGGGTCTTTCTGAGACTGCCCTAAGCTCCCTGACCTGGGGTCCTCCTGGGTCCCACTTCTCCTGGGAGCCCCCGCCCTCCCTCTGCCTGCCCCAAGGTAGCCACTAGAATTCGAGGGAGCAGGAGTCCTTGGAGGGCTGGCCCTTTTCAAGAAGGTTGAAAGTGAGGCTGCTGGGCAGGAAGCCTGGGGCCCACGTCGTCGTCAGGAGGGAGAGGGAAGAGGCCAGGCGAGCCCCCTCTCCCCACGGTGGCCGGGAAGGGGCGGCTGCTCCTACCTGTTGCTGCTGGAAGTGCAGCAGCTCCGCGGGGCTCATCTCGCCGTTGCTGTCGGCGCCCGCAGCCGTGTCCCTGCCCGCGCCGCCTCCGCCGGTGCCCGAAGCCCCAGCCCCGCCGCCGCCGCCATCCGCCTGCCCGGAGATGCTGCCCACGCCGTTCTGACCAGACGGAGCCGACCTGATTGTCTCCGAGGCGGATTCCACCATCATGTCGCTCTAGCGGGACCTAGTGGGGGAGGAGAGACGTGGGGGAGGGGCTGAGACTCCAGGCTGGACAGGGTTCTACCCCAGGGGCGGCCACCGAAACCCCTCAACACCAACAAAAAGCCCCTTAACCAACCCCCCCCCCCCCCACCACACACTACCGCCATCCTCCCCAGTCCTAGGGCATCGCCTCCTCCTCAACTTCCTGGAAGCAGCTCCTGGGAACCCTCTTGGGGGGCGGCCCCCCTCCCAATGTCACCCTCTCCCCTCGGCCCCAGGGAGGGGGCAGCTTCAGGCTGAGGCCCCAGTGCCCTCCTCCCCCACATTTTCTAGACTTCCAGGAGACCTTGGCAGGGAAGGGGAGGAGGTGATGCCTTCACCCCTGCCCCTGGGGAGGGTGGTGTCAGAAACCTGTTTTGGCCTCTCCCTCCAGGCCAGGGCCTTGGGGAAGCTAGGGTCCAGCTAGGATAGCAAAGGGATAGGTTGCACCCCAGCCCCACCAACATGAATGACCTCTCTGTATGTTCCCCATAGATAGAGACCAACCAGGGCAGGGCCTCCTTATAAGGTCTCCTTCCCCAGGACCCAGAAAGGCTCTAATCTATGTTTGTTCCATAGTAAAAATGGCTGCCCTTTTGCCCAGCACCTACTGGGAGCCACTCAGGTGGGCCTGGAGGTGTGCAGGGAAGGCAGCCAGTTGTCCCACGTCTCTGACCTTCCATTCTAAAGCCCTCAGCCCAGCACCTGGCCAAAAGTAGACACCCAATAACCTTCACTGTTTCTACAAGCACCATGGCTCCTTCTTTTACAGATGGGAAAACTGAGAGTCCAGAGAGTTTGGGGCAAAGAGTCAAGGCCTGAATCCTGTGCCCTCCCTCCCTCCCTTCCCTAGCTGCTTTTCAACGAGTGGTGGAAACATTCCCAGAAAGAGAGGGAATGTTTGGAGTGGTCAAAGGTAGCCAGGCAAAGGAGGAGGCCCGAGCTTCCTTCTACCACTCAAGGAGGTTCCCACATCTTTGGGGCAGGGGCAGGGGGCATGTAGGAGCACACTGTGACGCAGACAGGGGGCTTTTAGCATCCAGGGCTGCTTTCAAAGTCTGCAGTGTCCCCAGTCCCCGGCTATCCCTAAAGCCATAGCCCCTTGAGAGGAACGTGGATTGCAGTTAAAAGGGACCTGGTTGGTATCCATCACTGATCTTTGACTCGGGTCTTAAACTCCCTTAAACCTTGGGCGCCTGGCTGGCTCAGCTGGAAGAGCATGTGACTTCTGATCTCAACGGGGGGCCCCACGGTGGGTATAGAGATTACTTAAAAAAAAAAAAAAAACAACCAAACAACAAAAAACTCAGCCCTAACCCTCAGTTTCTTTGTCTGTAAAAGTTATTAATTTCAGCCTCTTAAGAGTTCTGTGAGGAGGAAATACAACAGCACACGTAAACCACTCAGGGGTGTCCACTCCAATCCACCCCTTCTCCACCTGCCCTATTTGTAAGGCTGAAGACTCTCAGGCTTAGAGAGGCCAAGACCACATAGAGCTTGAGGAGTCTATGGAAGCCAGCCAGTGTTCTTTCTTCCCTTCTTGATCCCTTTTTGGCCTAGGCAGACCCACAACCACATGGGACTCCCCACAGGTCAGTGGATGAGGGCCTTCGCAGGAAGCAGACCAGAAAGCTGCTGGGAGAGACTGGATTATTTCTCTGCATCTCTCTTGGCCCGAAGATTCTCTCCCTTCACTCCAGAAGAACTCTTTTCCCTCGCTCTGCTGGGCCACTTGCTGTTTTTGTCCCTGCTGGAAGCAGAGTTGGGAGCCGTGTGAGGGTATTGGAGGGATTGGTGGGGGCGGGGGGACTGAGAGGTGCTAAGGGGTCCACGGGGAGCCCACCGGTCACGTGTGCCACATCGCTGCTCTTGTGGCCCCTCTCCATCTGTGACTCTAGGTTTCTTTGTCCTAGTGGATGGATCTGGGTGGCTTCCTGGGTGACCCTGTGCTGTTAGCGTGTCCCATGGTTGTGCATTTCTGTGTGTTTCCAAGGGCTTGTCTCCCCAGCGCCCACCCCCAGTGGCCGGTCCCACTCCCGAGTTCTGAGAGGAGGTGGGCCAGGGGCGAGGGTGAGGTTGGGGGCGATGGTTCGGAAGAGATTGAGCACTTGGTCCCAGGCCTTAATGGCCATGTCAGCCCGAGGGCCAGTGGCTGCCAAATGATGGATGGGGTGGGCGCCATCCTCCACCCGTCAGAGCACAGGGCCCCAGGCCCCTCCTCCGAGCCACCCACCCTGATCCCTGCCATCGGCCTACAGAGCACCTTCCCCCACTCAGGCCTGGGCCCCAGCTACACATAAGGGGGATGGGGAGACAGCAGAGGCCCACTCTGCTTCCTCTCCCCCAATCCTGGCCCTGCTCGGGGTGGAGAGCAGCTGCCTGCCTTGATTCCAAGTCTAGCTTCTCTGAGATCTGAGAACTCCTGGGCCCCAGGGGACAAAGACTAGAGCCTCAGGGGTGTGTGTGTGTGTGCAAAGGAGAAAGGAAAGAGAATCCAGCACTTTCCCTGGGGTAAAGGAGAGTGCCCCCCCCTTCCAGCACTCACGCGCGCGCACACACACAGTATAAAGTTGTAGATCAGACAGCAAGTTTGGAAAAAGGGAGAAAAAAGGAAGGAGGCTCCTAACAGAGGTGTCCCTTTCTTTTCCGTCTTTTTATGGGGGGGGGGGGGGTAACAGAGCGACACCCAGTGAACAACATAATTGCTGCAATGTGGCGTGTAATAATAGCTATTCAGGGGCCGATCATTCATATTAAACAGGGTGAAGCAAGCCTCTCATTTGCATGCTTGAGATTATATGCATTTGAAAAGTCATTTCCGCAGGGTGTATGAATGGCATTAATTCCCATGTGGCACGCTCTGCCCTCTCCCGGGGCTTTCACCTCCTTCCATGCTCCCACCCGCCCACCAACATACACCCAAACCTGCACGTGTTCCCTGTATCTCCGCAACCTCACCTCCTCTACCCTGGGACACCGTGCCCTCTGAAGATGAGCACACCAGCAGCCTCATGCCTCCGCTGGGCATTGCAACAGCACTGGGGTGTTCCCTGCACGGTGGGTGAGCAGGCTCAGAGGGCCAGACAGCCAGGCACGGGGTGCAGACGCAGGCCTTTACAGCAATGTCCAGAGAGCCCGGACTCTGGCTAAGAAGGGAGGGGCCTGGGCTCAGCCACAACCAGCTGTGAAACCTTTGCCTTCCTCCTCCTTTGGGGCTCAATTTCCCCCTCTCTGCATGGAGAGGTGGTCTTGAAGGTCTTATCTAACTTTGAAGCTCCAGGAGTAAAACTCCCTCTTCCAGCAGGTGCATCTGAAGCCACAGTGTTCTAGGGCCGGTGGGAGCCACCAAGGGTCCATTTGAATTACAGCTGTGGTCCCTCACCCAAAGAAGGGCTCCACCCAACGTCAACCTGAGCTTCCTCCTCTGGTAATGGGGTGGGGGGGGCCCCCTCCAAGGGCTCCCTCTTTTTTTCACTCTGCCCCTTCCCTCTCTCTCCACACACTCCTCCCCCAGTCACCCGTTTCCTCAGCAAAGAGCAGCAGACACCTGCAGATGAGGAGAGAAGCTCTGGGAAGGAGACCATCTGGTTTCAAGGGCCAGCTCTGTGACCTTGGGCAAGTCACTGCCCCTTGCCCAAGTCACTGGGTTGGTCTTTCCTCCTTCGCACAGCAAGTAAGGGGGAAATTAGATCTTTCTAGGATTCGCTAAACATGGGGCCCTCATCCCCCACCCTCCGCCTTCCCTGACCCCTCTTCCACCACGTGTTGGGGGCAGGAGAAAGCGACTCAGGCTGGGTTGTTTTATGTGGCCTAGGATTTCTCTCTGGTTCTCTAGTCCCGCCCTTAGGCAGCTCCCTGTCTCTTTTCTCTCAGGGAACCCCTTGGGGAACCCGGGCACCTCAGCCTGGGGCCAACCCCGAAGCTCCCCCAGACATTGTCGGAAGGAAGGAAGGAAGGAAGCTGGGTCAAAGCCGCAGCCTTCTCTTCCTCTCTGGGGGAGGCAGCGGGCCCCTGGGGGCTCCCACTTCCCCTGAGGCTCCTGGCCCTTCGAAGAACCCCAGGGGGCACTTAACAAGGGAGGCCTCCTTGTAACTTTCCTGGTCCGTCTTGTCCCCTCCCAGGCCGGAAGTGAGGAGTTCTACCCACCTTGTGGCTAAAAGGAGAACCCAAGGACTAGGGTGTTTTGGGGTGAGACGAAGAGGGACGGGGAGCCCCACACGCGGAGAAACCTTTGTGCCTTTCCCGCGGGCACATATGGTGAAGGGAGTATTAATTACCGTAGCTTTTTAATTAACAATCGCTTAATCTGAGCGGTAACATTTGCCACGACACCCTGTGCCTCGCCGTGAACCCGCGCCGCCCGCCCTGCCAACTCATCAATTAATTTTTATTGACGTTTTCTTCCCCAAACAGGCACAATACCAGGGTTTTCCAATTAACACCTCCGCGATCTCTAATTAGTGCAATTAACAGACTGATGGATGCCCGGAGTTTACCCGCGAGGGAGGGAGGGAGGGAGGGAGGGAGGGAGGGAAGGGGGCGGGGCAGACCCCAGCGCACACGTGCATGCGCGCAGCTGGACAGCCCGAGGAGGCACTCCTAGCTTTAATCCGAGCAAAACCGGTGGGGGCGTGACCACAGGTAACCTGTACCCATAGCAATGGTGGCGGTTTGAGATGAAATAAGTACACACGGTTTCCAGCGCTCCGCAAACCCATAACCTAGGCGGAGAGACAGCTGAAAGCCTGAGACTGGAAGTTGGGAAACCCGGCATCTTAGCCCCAGGTCTGTATCACTAACTTGCTGTGTGACTTGGGCCAAGTTCATTCCCCTCTTTTCTCCTCTGTATAACGGGGAAAACTAGACTAGATGCAGCTATCTATTTACAATGTACACCCCTATCAGCTTCCAAGGAAGGTCAGGGAGCAGACTGCAATAAAAGGCGGATGAAGCTTCTTAAAATACAATGTCACTGGGTAGTAG